TGAGTCCAATTTTCGATTGGCCAACACTTGTCAAGACCCACATGGGTCGCGTTCCCTGGTGTCTGTAAGCTGTCCTTTGACGTTCGAGTGCGACCATTCTCGTCAAAGGTTCGAGTGTGTCCATTCTCGTCCAAACATGTCCCAAAAGTTATGTTTTAACACTAAAACCTCTTGAGTTGTTTTCCGACATCTATAAATACTCATGAGTAGAATGGGTAGTCTCGTGCTAGAAAGAGTCAGTTTTCTAAGTTTCATAAGTGCACTAGACCAGGATGCCATCTCCTAAGTCTTTTCTTAGGCTATCTTTAACGGTGACCCTTTAGGTTGGGTTACCAGATAAGACAAAAAAAAAATTAAAAAAAAAAAAAAGAAAAAATCAAGGTAAATGCGTGACCCAAGGTCAGATAAGTCGCAATGTGACCTTGGGTTCACAACCGACTGGTTGGACACTTGTCCAAGTTTGATTGGACAAGTGTTTTTTTCAAATAAGATAAAAAATAATTTACTTTTTTAGAAATTAATTTATGTCAAAAATAAAAATAAAAAATATCAATATTCGTATATTTTCATTCTCTACAAATAGAGACCACATTTGATATATTTTGAAACACGATTGCAATTTGGTAGTGATAATTAATGTGTGATTTTATTCGAAGTGTTGTAAAATTTTTAACTAATTTTAATATTTTGTTCCAACCTTGTAAATTCAAATTTTTTTAATTGTGTTCATAAATTTTTTAGCTATAGGCATGGTAAAATATATTTTTTTTTTTAAATTATTACTATTTTAATTATATATATTTTTTATTTAATTTGTTACAACTAAAACAATAACACAAATCAATTATAGATAATACTTATTAAATAAATAAATAAATAAATAAGAGCAAAATAAATAATTTAAGTTGAGTTGAGTTGGGTTAGGTTGTTGATAAAGATAAGTTAGATTGTAAAATTGGGTTGTGTAGGTGGATGAGAGACAAATAAATTTTTAATTGTTAGATTGAGTTGAGTTGAGTTAGGTTGAGAATAAAGATGGTCTTAGAATCCGGCTCGGGGTCGGTTAATGACTAATGTTGAGAGGAATAGGCGTGGCTTTACAGATTCGACTACTTGTGATTATTGGGACAAGAGGATATATCGTGTTTCATAATCAGCACTTTTTGTGTTCAATTTAATAATTTACCTTAATATTTTGTTCTATGTTTTCTGTTTTTAGCATTATCAGGGAAATAAGAGCACTCCCAAATCTCAATGGGTAAAACATTAATCTTCAGCCAAGTTATAAACATATGTTGAAGTTATTATATTTAGTATTTGTTATCGATTATTCATATGTTCATCAAAAACCTATCCCCCTATATATTAATCCAAAACGCGCTGAGCCTACGTGGATGCTTCTGGTGCTTCGGAATCCTATGTGGCAAAATTACATGCTTTCGTTATTAGGCTTGGGTAAATTTTAATTTAATTCCAAACCAAAAA